GGAACATGTGATTGGCCCTGAAAAGGGCTGTTTGGTTTGGGGCAGAATACGATTTAGACTGGAAAGGTCGGGACTTTTTTTTGTTTTACAAAAAAAATATAATTACAGCCAATACAAAGTCAGCTTGGACATTCAGTTGCGAGACATAACAAAATAAACGGTGCCAGCGATAGATTTTGCGAATGAAAGAACAAACTAAACGCAATCAAAGGCGCCGACCACTCGCGTTGGAAATAAACTAATAAAACGCGTTTGCACGAGAAATCTCGTCTGCATCTATCATTCACGCAAACGCACACACATGCTATTTTCGTATGTTGAATACGTTGGCAACGTCGTCAAATATTTAGCCCAATCACTGAATAAAAAAACATCCAAGCACAGTGTTCTCCCCAAAGCGTTTTAGCGTAGCGGGGCCGCTACTCTATTATTTATGCCGCTACTCTGAGAGATTGCCCGCTACTCTGTGGCATTTCCTGTTACTCTTTGTTTTAGCTTGTAAATACACGTGCGAATCTGTTAGTCAGCGTCATCAGCGTCCGTTACTGTGAGCTAAATCAGGTGTGAATGGAAACATGTCAGTGATTACACAAAGACAATGGACTAATACAGCTTCGTACTTCGACAATAAACACTTTCGCCCTATTTAATTGGGGTAATAGCGAGCATTTTCTCAGTAGCATATTCGGCTTGAAGAAGCAACGATGTCAAACAGCAGAAATATTACGTCGTGGTTCCGCATAGAACGCCCTGCTGGGCCCCTGGTTTACAGAATAAACCCACCAGCAACACGGTCACCGGTACCCCTGTCGGCAGTGGTACTAAACGTGTCCAAGATGATGTTACAACGAAAGGTGAAAAAAAAAAAAGATAGTCTGGATTAGATGCACAATGGACAACAAAATATACGTGGCTGAGAGAAACATCCGATGGCAAAGGTAAAAAAAAGTATTTATTTGTAGCGTTTTACTTGGAAGCGTATTTTGACCTAGTTTAGTAAACTTTTGTATGGCTTCATTTTTTGCCGATCGTCGAAACATTTTTTTGGAAACGACTTTCTTTCTGGAAGTTCAAAAATTGTTGGCTACGATTTATCAAAATAACTAATACTAGTATTGTGTTTTGAAATAGTTGGGTAAATTTTATCGTGGCAATTTTTTTAGTTTGGCGACTTTTCAAAATGGCGGCAATTTGTTTATTTTCGTGTTGATCGTGACAATATTTTTTTAAATACAAGTATTGATTCGCTCCTATTTCTTATCTTTTAGGAATGCTGTGTCACATATGTGGAAAATTCAACTTAAAAACATCCAGAAATAGTTCTTTGGTATGGAATTGTATGCCATGTATAAATATTACAAAATATGCTATAGATAAACACGCACACTCGGAGATGCACAAGAAGGCCATGTCATTAGAAGTGGGAAGCAAAGAAAATCACGGCGTTCTCAAAAGCTGCAGACCACTGGGCTTCCATGAAAGTCCGAAGAATCAACATTACATAGAAATCACACAGCAGCAGATTCATTTAATCTTGTACATAAATTTGTTAAAAAATAAAGACACAATTTCATCCATGCAAGCCTG